GAAAGAGGTGGTTGCTATCCCACTATTCTCCCACACACTTAGTCACTGGACAGATGTTCACTGGATACCTGCTCTGTGCAATGCACCTTATAGCACATGTCTGATTCTTCACTAACTGCCTGAGAAATGTCTCTTTGCTATTCTCCATCCTTTTGTCAACTAAAAACAACTTCCTCCATCTTCTGTATCTTGCCTCCCTTCAGAAAAATCCCAGACTTCCTTCCTCTAGCCTAACAGAGCATAGTTTTGAACCCACATCTCCTGACTCCAAATATTATGCTTTTTCTTCAACACACCAGACCAAGAACCCTGAGCTCAAGCCCCAGCTCTAGCTATGAGCTTTGAGCTAGTAATGTAAGCCCTCCAGCCTCAGCTTCCTTGGCTTTAAGATCAGGAAATGGGATAATTCACAACTGATAAAACAAGAAGTAGTCACTCACTATAGAGTGAAGACAAATCAGCAAATCACATAACTAATCAATATATCTGGGAATAATCATATTGAACAAAGTGTTGTTCCATTCTTCTATTCATAAGAATATTGTAAAGAAGAAAAAAAACATTTTTAAAGAGATATTTTTGCTATAGGGCGAGTGCACTTGCCAGACAGACAGAGAGAGACAGAGGGACAGAAATCATTCCCAGTGGTGGGGGATGGCCATGCTGCAATCCCTTTTCTTTCATTCTCCTCTCAGGATTTTAGGCATGCATGCACACATGCCTGATGTAAGTTGGGTGCAGGACTCAAACCAGGGTCAACTACATGGGAGTCCAGCAATGTAACCATTATGCCATCTGCTAGTCCCAACAAGAAGAAATTTTTTAAGAAAATCAGTAAATCTTTATACATTAAACACACATAAGAATTTCCATCCATTATTTATTGGGTTGTCAGAAATGTCATGCCATAATTTTTCTTTGTTTTTCTATGCAAAAATGTGTCATGATTTTTCCGACAACCCAATAGAACTAAAATATTTTAAATAGTTAAAAGTTAACTGGTATTTAAAAAAAAAAAACATGAGGGAATGGCAATGCTCTATGGTCTTTCCTAGTTTTAATTTCCTACATTTCTGTGATTTATGATCTATTTGTATGTGGTAATTGTACTAATAATTTTTTGGCATAATTTTTTTCTTGGGTAACTTAAGATCAAATTTCTGTGTCTCAATGGGGATAGGCTTTGTAGAGTTCAGCCAATTCTGCATATATTTACAGACTGTGGTAATATGTTAATTAACTGAAATTAAATGGTTGCATGAAACAAGATACCTCCTGGCCTACTCCAAAGGAAATTGCATACTTCGTATTGGAGAGAAAGGCATTTGTTAAAATTGCACTGGCAGAGAGAAGATAGGGGATTGCCCAGAAGTCAACAGGAAATATTTCAAGAAAAAGGTTGGTTCAGAAGTGTACTGAAATGACAAAAGACCAGCTTCCTCAAGTGGTTGGCGAGAGTGTCAGTTAGGCCTGAACTGAGGCAGAAGACTTTGTAGCTTCACATGACTGTGACAGGGACCAGCAGTGTCCTGGACTAAGACAAATCTGTTAATCAAAAAGAGGAGGGGAAGTCAAACTAAGAGACCCAGAAGTGGGGCAGGATGGTCTAAGTGTGCTTGACAGAAGCACTTAGGTCTAAGGAAGTCATTAGGAAGGGCCTATGGAAATTAAAAAACACAAAGATAAATCTATTGAGTTATCAGAAGGGTCATGATATATTTTACCAATATGCTAGGTACCAAAATTGACTGACCTACAATAAGGTACTGACGTTTATTTATTGACAAGACATTTCTTTCATTAAGAGAAAAAACCTTAAGTCTGTTTTGAAATTATACTATTGTTGGAGATATTGAAGCCAGGTTATCTGGTTCCAAATCTTAGCTATGGTCTTCCAATGGTCTTTCTAGCTGTGTGGCCTATTACCACACACACCTCTCTCTGCCTGAGTTTTTTTATTCATAAACTCAGAACAATGGCAGTATCTCCCTCACAGACTTGCTGGGGGTTAAATGAGCTAATGCATGTAAAGAGCTTAGCATCCCGTCTAGATAGAACCTACCTGGATATTGTGGTGGTTGTCCTACTGATGACTTATTAAAAAGGAAGGCTACAAGAGAGCTGGAAGGTCTGCATTTCTGAAGTCAGAGCCCGAGATACCAGCATGGTGTGGAGTGAAGAAAGAATGCTCAGTGTCAGCTTACCTTCTCTCCAAGCACCAGGGAATTCATTGTGTTCACTTAAGAGAAGGCATTGGTTCCATTTGGACCCAAATGCCTACTGTTTCTTCTATACTCACCATCTCCATCTTCTGTCTTTTCCCCCCAGGAGCCTCCCTGGCATAGGATTCAGACCAAGGATGTCGAATACCTTCAGCTGCTGAAATTGGTGCTGCATCCTTTCTTGAGCCCTTTCAAACATGCCCTCAGCCACCTGCCGGTCCACTCCTCTTCTGATGACATCTTTCATCCTCTCACATGCTTTTTTGCCAGTGATCTGAGCTGCCTCTGGCAAAAATTAGAACCACAGTCACACCACAGAAAGGATTTGCTAAGACCCTTTGGTATCAGTAAGAAATACAAGCAGGCAAGCAAGCAAACAAATACATACATATATGTATATACATAAACATATATGAATATATATATACACACAAACATACACATTTATATTTTTTAAAACATTGAAAATATTTAGATAGTAACTATCATTCAGAAAAACCTAATGAGTGAATTAAACAGAAACTTACAAAATCATACACACATACACATCCACCCCCCAAACCATAGGATACCAAAACAAGAAGGAGCCTTAAAGTGAGTTCACAAATACTTAAAGAAAAGAATGAGAACCAGATCCTGGATTTTATAGTTGAATCAGGTGAGCTGTAGCATGGAGAGGAGACACCTGGTGTCTAGAGACAGGATGGGAAAGAACTGGAAAACACCAGATAGAGTCCCTTAATTCCCTCTTCCCACACCCTCCAATAACCTGGTTTCAATTTACAGACTACAAGTGTTACAGGGACTCAAGATGCTGGAGGACAAATACTTTGAGGGGCAGCAGCAGACAAAGATGCTGAAGAAGGTGACAGAATGGCCCCAAAGGAGGGGGCCATGCAGCCCTTGGTAGCCCCCACCTTCATAACAGGGCTTCAGGTCGTTCTGAACAGAGGTGCTGAGAGACTCATAGATCCTCCTCTTCCTTCTGAGGATGTGTCCCTCCAGGCCTCCCAGGATGGCACTTATCTGAGAAGCCATGTTAACAGAAGACCATTGGGGACCATTCCTTCAATAGTGGCAGGGCGGGCATCTCTGTGCACGGCCCCCATTTCTCTCTGTCTTGTATTATGATTGGCTGTTTATGCCTAGGCAGAAACTTTGTCTTAAACACCTTTATATCCCAAAGTGCTTCCCACAGTGCCTAGACCTACAACTACTCAATGAAAATCTGTGCTCTGTACAATGAACTGAGCTGGGAAGTGGCTGGGTTCAGTTCTGTAGCAGTTAGGACCATGGAAAATACTCTCAGGTTAAAGATGGCATCAAAAAGAGGACTTCGAACACAAGAATTGAACAAATTAAAAATCTGGCATGTTTAAAAAATAATTAATTAATTAATAAATAAATATTTGCTGAGTTGAACTCAGACATGGGGAAGATTCTGGAATGGGTCCTTTTTGGGTGGCCAGGAGAGGTTCATGTAGTCTCTAGTATTGACAGGTAACCTGGGTTGGCTCTGGAAGAAGGTGAGTCCCATACAAGAATCTGCAGTCCTCAAAACTAAAAAATTACCTGCCAAAACAAACAAAAAAACTAATTTCCTTAAGCTTTGGGACAGTATTTCATGATATCAGTTAAAACATTAAAGAGCTTAGTGAAAATGTTATGAGTTGATGGAAATTTTCATACATTTAAGTGTTCTCCAAAGATTCCTGGTAACTGAGTCAGCTTTTTAGCCTCACAGGTACTCTCAACTGCTTATCTGTGGAACAAAGTCTACATCCATGTCTTACAGCTCCCTGGAATCCTTAGGGCCACTTCTCCCTCCCCCATCACATTAGATTCCATGCTTCACAGAGCCTCCTACAAGGTCTGTCCAGAACCTGGGAACTCCAGGGAACAAGTAGGGAGAGACAACCTTCACAATTCACCTGGGAAAAAAGTCACCCCCCTCCACCTCACCATCTCTTCACTTTACAAGAAACTTACCTCCTGGACCAGGAAACTTTTTTTGCAGCTATCATATTTCCAGCCATTTCTTATTCCAATTTCCATCATTTTCTCCTGTAGGGAGTGCTTAAAAGCACAGATATGAGGCATTAAAGCTGATTCAGCAGGCTTCCCAGTCCTGGATGAATATAGAAGACTTAATGTTAGGTGAAGTAAGCCAGACTTTGAAAGACACACATTGTATAACCCTGGTCTGACATGTATCAAATGTCTACACTCTATGGCAGAAATTGAAATTTCAGAAGATATGATGGTAGAAAGGATAAATGTATGTACCAGAGACTATAAGGGAAGGGAGTGGATGGTAGAGGGTGAGTGGGAGAGGCAAAGAGAAGAAACATTTAACAGACCAAAGAAATGTTCTTTGTTGAAAAAAAAAATTCTTTGATTTTAGCTTTATAAAACAAATACATTTTTTAAAAAAAGAAGGAAGCAACGTGAAAGGTTAGAAACAATGGTGGCTATGGTGGGGGTAAAACAAACATGAAGCTATCTGGTGTTCTTTTATTCCATGATAGGCCCTTGACATAGAACCTGTGAAGTCAATGTGACAATGCCCATTTTTCAAATGGAAAAAATTGAGGCTCAGGGAGGACTGCTGATGTAACCAAGGTCACATAGCTGGTAAGAGGCAGAGCCAGGTTTTGAACACTGCTTTAACCTCAAATCTCATACTGCCATACTGTTTCTCCTTGAGAAACTTGAACTACACCTTTAAAATGGATAAGATTTGGAAAATTGAAAAGAAGGGGACTAATTGAAATTAGTCTCCATGAGACAACACAATTAATGAAGTGTCAGATTATTCCAAAAGTAAGAAGCAGCTCACTGTAGAAGAGAGCATAATGTTTAATTCTAGCCCTTTAAAAAACAGTGTTTTTTGTCACGTGGCATGTGCACTCACCATAGAAAGAAAGAGTGAGAGAGCAAAGAGAGCGAGAGAAGGAGAAAGCACCTCCCCAGGGAGGTGGCCATGCCAAAACCCCTTCTCCTCTGCTCTCCTTTCAGGATTTTGGGCACACACACATTTATGTGCCCAGTGTGTTTTTCAAGCTGCCAGATCTAGGACTCAGACTGCAGTCGGCCTTGTGGGATCCAGCCATCTTAACCACCACAGTACTGGGTGGCCCAATCCTAACTCTACTCGTGAGCTGAGTGACATTGGGAAAGTGGTATAATTAATTCTTCTGAATCTCAGATTGTTCACATGGCAGAAGATGGAAGCCACTTTATAGGATTATGGGGAGCATTAGGTGAGCTAATGCCTGCAAAGCATTTATTTGCACAGTCCCGGGACCTCTCAGTCGCTCCTTGCTACCCTCCAGCCAGCTTCAACAGAGGCTGGTCCTGGGCAGCAATGCAGGGGAAGGTCGGAAAGGCACCTTGGAGGCAGGTAGAATGTCTTAGATGCCATTCTAAGGAACCTGGAGTTTATCCCACAGACTCATAAATAGGAGTAGGATGGGCATAGGGGAAATGGCATGATCCAAGATGTGTTTCAAGGTGGGGGCAGAGAAAGGGGTGGGGTTGATAGGACACAAACAAAGGTGGGAGACCGCTCGAGCAGTAGCGGGTGAACAGCCAGGGAAAATGCCAGCAGGGAAGAAAAGGGAGACAGGACAGGACTGAGCTTGGGGATTAGGAGATTCTGTTTCTGTTGATGGAGGGAAAGAATTGGACATCAAGAAAGGAGGGAAGGAGGAGGCACCGACAAGGTGCACTTTTTGACCTGTGCCATGCGTGAGCAGGTCGTGTGTCAGTCACACACAGCGTCCTCAGTGAGCCTCTTTTCTTTATGCATTCAGGGAAAGTTTGGGAGGATATGTGTTTGTTTAATTCCACCCTCTCCAATCAAAATACCCTATCCTGGGCTCAGATCCATAAGAAAATGTATCCCCTGCTGCGCGTATGAGATATTTGAAAAATAAAGGGAATCATAATATTAGTCTGAAAGCAACATCTCACTCTGTACTCCAGGTCACCATGGGAAATTGTTAAGTAAACCAAACCAAGACTTTTGTGTTTTGCCAAAGACTAAGCTTTCCTCCTCAAGTTACAGGCTACTCTTTACACGTCCAGATCCAAAGTATAAATTCTTAAAGATGAGACTGGCTTGATGTTCTTCAGATGTTTGTTCACGAAGGCTCAAGATGACAGATCCTTTACCTAAAAATGCTTCCAAACACAGGATCGATTTGGTCATAGATGGGCTGAGTGATGGCTTCGTTCAGGTCGATTCTTGCCAGGGTCCTTGAGGCATAGATGCCATTTTTCAGACAAACAGCTTTCAGAGTCTGGTGAAAACCTTGGTTTCCTTTACTCCTCTAGATAATTGAACAATGAATTAGTAGAGTTAATAGGCATTAATCAGAAGGTCACAGGATCAGAATTGCATTGCCTTTGGTTAAAGAATGTTACCAAGAATTACAGAAAAGGGTAGAGAGAACATGATCTTTAAACATATCATTCAGCCAGACAGGGAGGACTGGGGCCAGGCTGGCTGGGTGCCCTCTCCCTGAACTGCTGTGATCACAACTCTTCTCACACAATTTCTCATTTTTCAGTTTACTCTTTCTTCAGGCCCCTGTACTAGGCCATTTGCTCACTGATCAGGCACAATGCTGTGGCCATCTTTAAATCCTCAGCACCTAGCAATGACTGAACTAGTGCTTCATAAATATTTGTTAAATGAGCAGTTATTGAATGAATGAATGGATGGTTGGTTGGATGGATGGATGGAAATATGCCATGTAGGGGCCAGCAGATGGTATGGTGGTCAAGGCACCAGACTCCCACAAGGCCGACCACAGTTTGAATCCTGGATCTGGCAGCTTACTTTCTCACTTTCCCTCTCTCTCTGTCTCTCTCTAGTAATATCATGTGTCCTATAGTAAATTTAAAACAATACGTTGTCAGAGGGTATGTCCACTCACCAGAGAAAGACAGAGAGGAAGCACCCGCTTCCCAGGGGTTGTGGTTACGTCACAATCCCATCTTTTCCATTTCTCCATCCTGTTGGGATTTGGGGCACTCATGCGAATGTGTCAGGTGTGTCTTTCAAGCTACCAGGGCCAAGATTCAAACCACAGTTGACCACATGGGCTATTGCTCCTTTAACCACTAGGTTATGAGACCGACCCATTTCAGCTAATTTTTACAACAACCCTGTGACATTGGTACATGGTTTTGTTCATTTTACACATGAGGAGCATGAGGCACAAAGAGGTTAAATAACTTACCATGGCCACACTGCTGGTATATGGGGAGACTGAGATAGAAACCAGAGCCCATGCCCTGCACAGGTGAGACATGCTGCCTCCTAGCAGTCATGCCTTGTACGCAACAGCCCTTGTTACATGAAGAAACAAATGAATGCACCAAGCTTTATTACTTTTAGGGGATTTGCATACATTAAACTATTAATTGGTTGACAATTACAAGTAGCTATAATAGTTTGTAGAGTACAGTTTAGAGGATTCTATTAGGGTTGGGCATCAGGTTCTGAAGCTAGACAGGCCTTGGATAGATGTGGAGCCTGTGTGTGGCCATGGAAAAGTTATTCCACCTTTCTAAGGCTGTAAAATTAAAGCAGTAATAGCAGTGTTTGCCACACCAAATTATTATGGGGACTGGATTAAGAAATGAACAATAACTGGTACCAGAGTAAGAAATTTGCTCATGTTTGCTAGATGAATGAATGAATGCATTACATGCATGGATAGTCAGCTATGTGTAGAAGACACTGTAGCTCTCATCTTCCTTTGTCAAAACTTCTCCAAGCACCCCCAAATCTTCCCTACCTATTTACTCTTTCAGCTTTTCATTCTTTCAGCATTTATTCTTTGTGTTATTCTTGAGTTATCTCCTACTTCTCTTTCATCCCAATTGCAGTACCCGTGCCAACTAATCAGAGACTGAAATGACCTTTGACCTAAAACACACAGGTAATAACAGCCAGGAGAAGGCCATATTTTAGAAAGCTAGTATCTCCACATGTATGAAAAGGCTACCGAAATGTAGGCACTCCATTACCCACAACCTTTTCACACAGTTTTCACTGCTCGTGTTCCAGCTCTCCTACCTGTATTAAAAACAACTACCCTAACATTCTATCTGCACTACTCCCAGCTCGAGAGACTTCAATCTCATCCTTGCCACTTGAGCAGCATTGCCCATCACCCCTTACTCTTATTTTTTTTTTTTTTTTTTTAGGTTTTTGTCACAGAGCATGTATGCTCAGTGGAAAGAGAGAGACAGTGAGAGGGAAAGTGAGAACTCACTCCTCAGCAGGATGGCCACACTGCAATCCCTTCTCCTCCATTCTTTTCTCAGGATTCTGGGCATGCACACACACATGCCTAGCATGATTTTCAAGCCATCATGTGACCTTATTTGAAAATAATGTCTTTAAGGAGGTAATTAAAGTCAATGAGGTCATAAGGGTAGGGTACCAATTCAATAGGATTAGTGGCTTTATAAGAGGAGGAAGAAACTCAGGAGCCCTTCCTCTGTCTCTTGCATTCAAGGAAACAGCAAGAAAGTGTCTGACTGCAAGCAGGGAGGAGAGCCCTCCCCAGGCCTTGTTCAACTGCTGGCAGCTTGATCTCAGACTTTAAGCCTTCAGAACTGTGAGAAAATTAATTTCTGTTATTTAAGCCACACAGTCTGTGGTTTTATTATGGCAGTCCTAGCAAACTAATGTAATTGGCCTCTTTTTGCACTCCTTAGTCTTAAATAAATACTGCCTTGCACTTACATTTTCAGCCCTCACGCATACAATTAATTTAAAAATAAAATCATAATTTGCATGCCAAGTGAGAGGTTACAAGATGTGTGTGTGTGTGTGTGTGTGTGTGTTTAATCTAATTAATCCTGCCATCAACACCACAAGGTAGACAAGGCAAGCATTTAGCATCCCCACATTACAGAAGAAAAAAAAAGTTTTTAAAATGTACTTACATCTTAAATGGGTTCAGGGCCTTGCCCAGTGATTCTCAGTGGCTGTCTGGTGAACCTTTAAATTTCTTTGGTCCCCGTTGAACAATTCCCTGTATGTGCTTTTCTACATGTGATTCTCACTCACTCCTGCCCGCGTCTAGCTCTTCATTTCATTGACAAGCAGTGGGATAATTTAAAAAGAGCTTGGGGACCAGCCTAACCTCACAAAATATCCCAAGTTTTTCCTGAAAAGGGTCACTCACCACCAGGCATGCCCCAAGGATGCGTCGGTAGGAAATCCGGGCTTCCCTTCTTGTAGGGGCAGCTCGATGTGGGCAAAGCACTGCCCAATGGCCTTCTCCAGCTGCTCTATCTTCTCCTCCACAAACCTCCGCAGGCCACTCAAAAGCACATGTTCATTCTAGGGACAATGAACAAAAGGAGCATCAGGTCACCCCCTCCCAAAGGCACCTTTTTCTTAAATGTGGCTTACTCTACGTTTGTCACCAGTGAAGATTTAGTTTGAGGCAGTCACCCAAAGTTGGCTTCTCTGTATTGTCCCCATAAGGCATCCCTCAGTACACAGACCCCTTTGGGCTGTGTGGATTGTAGAACAGAGTAAGTATATGCCTGCTGCAACTTTTATCAGATACATAACCCATCAGGCAGTTTGGAGAAGTAACAATCCAAGTAAAAATCCAGTTGTTATTAAAACAGATTTTTCCAACGGCATACTTTTTTTTTCTTTATTCGTGATAGTGATTGCATTTGCACACATAAGACTGGGAATGACAGAGAGAGCAGGTCATGCCATGATCTCCTCCTCCAGGCTCCCGATCTTGGGCACTCGTGCGAGTCCCTGGTATGTTTCAGGCTGAGTGCTGGGAATCCAAACAGTGGTAGCCATGTGGAATCCAGCTTCTCTTGAGCAGTGCATTACTGTGTGCCACAGAGTCAGCCTGATAACATCCTATTTGACAAATATTTAATGAGCTTTGACTTTGCACAGAGCTGTTCTAATGTGCATACAAATCACCAAGAGATCTCCTTAACATCTGAGAGCTTAGGATTTTACATTTCTAGACAGCCCCCAGAGAATGCTGATCTTCTGAGCACTGGACCACACTCTATTTTTGTTTGCCTTTGTTTTGTATTTTAAGTTTTTGCCATAGGGCATATGCACTTGCTGGAGAGAGACAGAGACGGTGAGAGGGAAAGTGAAAAACCATCTCTTCTTTAAAATTTGTGTTTTTTAATAAGTCATGGAAAGAAAATCTATGGCAAGATTTTCACATCTCACTCTCAATAAATCTCTTGGCATGAACAAAAGAGTGGTAACAAAGGAAAGATCTGGGAATAAATGAACAATAAAAAGGAAAAGACTGCACTTAGGAATAAACTGGACCTTGAGATGACATTATTAACTTCCTATCTGTTCTGAAAAATAACGACTGTTCATTTAAAACCACTAACTACTCCAACTCTAAATTTTTGGTTAGAGTCACAACCTTGAAAAAGTGATCGATTGAGGCCAGCAGGTGGCATGGTAGTTAAGGCGCTGGAATTCCTCATGGCAGAATGTAGTTTGAGTCCCATACCTGACAGCTTGAAAATAATGCCAGGCACATATGCGTGCATGCCCAAGATCCTGAGAGGAGGCTAGAGTGAACAGGATGGAGGCATGGCTCCCTTCACCCAGGGGGAGATTTCTCACTTTCCCTTTCTCTGTTTCTCTCTCTTTTTCTCTCTCCCCAGCAAGTGCACACACCCTGTGGCCCAAAAAACATAAACAGAGGGACCAGCAGTTAGCAGAATGGCTATGTCACTGGACTCCCATGTAGTCGACCATGGTTTGAGTCCCAGACCTGGTGGCTTAAGCTCACGCCGGGCGCGTATGCATGTGTGCCCAAGATCCCGAGAGGAGAATGGAGGAGAAGGGATTGCAGTGTGGCTATCCCCCCTGGGGGGTTATTTCTCGCTTTCTGTCTCTCTGTCTCTCTGTCTTTCCAGCGAGCGCACGCATGCTATAGCAAAAACTTCTCAAAAAAATAAATAAATAAAAATCAATCATGCATATTTTTAGATTTGACTTTTCAGAATTAAAGGAACCGATCAAACTCTTGCCTTCCAACTTTCCGTCAAAGAACTAAGACTAAGACCAATGCCTGAGGCCAAGAAATTTTGAGGAGAGAAGCTGGCAACTCCCTCACAGACTATCACGGGAATGCCAGTTGGTACCCTTCTCCTCTTTGTTTTCTATACCCTGGAGTCTGGATGAAAGGGTGAGACCAAGCCCCTCCATGGCTTGCATCTCTGAGTTAGCAAAGAAGAGCACATGGGGCAGGCACTTCTGGCCCCGTAAAACATCTTGTCCTTGTATTTGTAAGACACACCAACCACACACCACACCAAGTATGATTCGTTTTCCATCAGCACTTCCAAAAGCAATCTTGTGTTGGGCAGAGGGGCCAATTTCACCCTGAAGAACTTTTTCAGGAAGTTGCAAGGTCAAAACTATTTCAGAGAATGAAAGTCAAACTTGAAAAATCTCAGATTCCAGTTTTCTTTTGTTTCTATCTCTTATATCTATACCAAAGCAAGGCATAAGAAATATGATGAAAAAGTAAATTTTGCTCTATGTGCCACTTATGCAACAATGTTCAAATGTGGGCATTTGGTCCAAGCTGCAATGTCTTCAGCTGGTGTTGCTTACTTTCACATTCAAGTCTGGTCGTGAGTATTCGCCTTTCCTTGCCACCCATGGTGCCACCCCAGGCGCTTTTCCCATTCTTTGACCTCTCATAGAGCCTTACTGATGAACTTTCTCTGTCCCTTCCCTGTCCTGGCTTAGGAAGAAGTCAGACAACTTGATTGTGCAAATCAGGTGGGGTGTAAGCAACTGTCGACATAAATGAACACTAACCAAGCAAGAAAAGCAAAGGCTATTACTGAGTGCTTGCTATAGCAAGTCAGCCATCATTGCTTGAGATCGCCAGAAACTCAAAGACAGGCAGAGAAATACAAAAACTTTACAGTAGAGAAAAGGGAAGATTTCAGGCCCTGATTGGAGGCCACTGCTCTGAGAAAGCTGGAGGCAAGCTAACTAACTGTATCTCTAACTGCTCTCTGTTACAGATACAGATTTGGCTCTCTCTGGTTGGTTGTAAGTTAGGGAAAAGCACAAAGATTAAGTAAATTATTAATCAGGTCCTAGCCATTTGGGGCTAATTATTATAGAAGTTATTGTTCAGCTTCCTGAATTATTACTGAATTGATGACAGCCAGACTACAAGTCTGACTTTATAGACATTGGGCTAGCTTTCTGGACTGTTTATTGTAGATAAGGGTTTGATTTTTCCAGCAGGTTGCTAGAGGTTGTAAGTCAGACTTCTATTTTTACATACAATTTGGCTATTGTCTATTTGTATATTAAGTCTCTCACAAAAAAAAAAGCAAGCACTCAGTGATTGATAAAAGCTAGATTTTTCTCCAAAACACTCCAAGCTCTAATATAGCAGTTTATCCCTCTTATTTTAGGGTAAGAAAAGACAGAAAAGAAAGGAAGAAAGGAAGAAAGGAAGGAAGGGAGGGAGGGAGGGAGGGAGGAAAAGAAGACAGGGAGGAAAGGAAGGAAGGAAAGAGAGAAAAAGAAGTAATAGAGAGAAGAAAGAAGAAGAAGAAAGAAAGAAAGAAAGAAAGAAAGAAAGAAAGAAAGAAAGAAAGAAAGAAAAAAGAAAAGATAAAAAGAAAAAGACAGAAGGTAATCCATCTAAAAGACAATCTTGTCCATTACTTTGAGAAAAGAAATTTTAACTAGTTCCCCAGAAGGTCTTCATTCTAGACAGTGAAGATAAATATCTAAACTTTCTTGAAATTCCCACCTAGTGTCTCTCTTGTATTAATTTACTGCACTGCTCTGAGTCTGGGATTCTGACAGAAACCCACAGACAGAGCCTAGCAGTTAAAGGAGCTAGATCCCACATGGCCAGCTCCAATTCGAATCCCAGTCAGGAAAAACAAGCCAGGCATATGTGCATGTATGTCCCCAAACCCAACAGGATGAAAACTGGAGGGTAGGGGATTGTGGCATGATCACACCCAACTGGAGGGTGCTTTCTTTCTCTTCTTCTCCCCCTCCCTGGTGAGCATATGCATCCTTTTGCAATAAGAAAGAAAGAGAGAGAGAGAGAGAAAAGAAAGGAAGAAAGAAAGGAAGGAAGGAAGGAAGGAAGGAAGGAAGGAAGGAAGAAGAGAGAGAGAGAGAGAGAAAGAAAGAAAGAAAGAAAGAAAGAAAGAAAGAAAGAAAGAAAGAAAGAAAGAAAGAAAGAAAGAAGGAAGGAAAGAAAGAAGGAAAGAAGGAAGGAAGGAAAAAGAAAGAGGGAAAAAGAAATGACAGATAAAACTTTACTGGGCTGTTCACATAAACACATCTCTCCCAGATTACCATGAATTGTCTATATTCCACTAGAAGTAAACTGAATCAGTCCTGCCAGCCATCATTTAAACACATTCCATCTGGTTCCAGACATGGGAGAGAAGAAAAATAGCTCTTTTTACATTTTTCTCTCAGTTCATCTGCTCCAGGTAAAATAGTATTCCCTTCTCTTTTACCCAAATGTTACCACTTTAACCCTTATTTATCTTTTTGTCCTCTTAGTCTCTAAACGTCACATTTTTCTTTAATATGAAAAGACAAAATACTTTTCTTTTTTTCTTTTTCTTTCTTTTTTTTTTTTTTTTTGCCTATAGCAATAGGGCGCATGCGCTCACCAGACAGAGAGAGACAGAGAGACAGAAAGCGAGAAAGTGCCCCATGGCTGATGGCCACACCACAATCCCTTCTCCATTCTCCTATCGGGATCTTGGGCACACACGCACATGGGCCCGGCATGAGTTTAAGCCACTGAATCTGGTATTTGAACTGCAGTTGACTACATGGGAGTCCAGAGACATAGCCATTATGCTAACTGCTGGTCCCAAAATACCGTACTTTTCTAACTTGGTTAAGGAGAGTATTCTGCCCAATGGGGAGAGAAAAAATATATATTCCTCAAGGTATCTCTCATACCAGCAGCTTTTCCGTGGAGCTGAAACTGTCTGTGAGGAGCAGCAGGCCAAAGGCTTCGGTGATATACTTGGTCACTGTCCTCCTCTTCTCATCCAAGAGCCTTTTTCTGATATATTCTCTTAACCTTGGGATTCCTGCAATTCATAGGCAGCACAAGCAATTTTAAAAGACTAGAAGTTTGCAGTCAAGAGAATTCATAATAGTTAAACTATCAGAACAATTGTCTGAATGAACCATTGGGGTCTCACATAGGCTAGACCACCTTTCTGATGAACTCTTTTCCCCATATCTATTATCTACAACAATGAATGGTATATCAGTAATGCTAAATATTAATTGTACTCAGCTGTATCAAGGAAGTATGTAACAGGCTGAGGTTTTTGGTTTTTGTATTTTTTTTAGAGAGATTTTTTGCTATAGGATGCATGTGCTTGCTAGGGAGACAGAGAGACAAAAAGCAAAATATCACCTCTCAGCGGGGTGCAATCCCTTCTCCTTTATCCTCTTGGGATTTTGGGCACACATGCACACATGCCCAGTGTGAGTTTCAGGCAGCCAGGTCCAGGACTAGAACCACAGTTGGCCACATGGGAGTCCAGCAGTGTAACCATTACACCATATGCTGGTCCCACAGGTTGGAGTTTTGTTTTGTTTTGTTTTGTTTTGTTTTGTTTTGTTTTGTTTTGCTTTTTAAGGAGTCCTTTCCTTTGAATTAGTACTCATCTGCATAGTTGAACCAAAGGAACATTTCTAGAGTCTCAGTTCTTTGGATCCCTTCAATTTTTTCTATGTCAAGTAGCCCTTAATAGGGTTTACTATAAAAAAGCAACAAGAACCTCTGATGCATGAAATTCTAGATCAGAAACTCACTCTCATTCTACTCCTTTGCCAGTCACAAGCTGATAGATGCCATCCGACCCTTTCCCCCATATTCCTAAACGTGGCAATTCTTAAATGTTATCCATTACATACACCAGGCTAATTTTGTCTTTTGTTCCATTATTTATAAATGAAGTAGCCTCTTTGTTTATTGGAACATTTCACAATTTCTGCTCCTTATATTCCTCACATCTAAGAAAATTGCACACATGCTTTAATCCACCTAATCTCAGGTGAAAGACCAGCTCAGACCTTGCCTGCTCTTCAAGTTTTCATTGCACACTCTAGTCCACACAGACCTCTGGATTCTCTGCCCTTCCACTCTACTCAGTGTCAGCACCATTTAATTGGGCCTCATTTTTTTTTCTTTAATTTTTAACATGGGTTAGTATTAGCCCCTCATGAAGACTTTTAAATTCTAAGGAGAAAGGGGTCATGCCTTATACATTTTCTACCTCATTGACCAAACACATAATAGACCCTCAGAAACACTTCTGATAGCCATAGATGGGGAGTTAAGGAATCTCAAGCCAAATAAGAAATGACAACATGGTAAGATTTGGAGGGGAAAATAATTATATTCTCAGGCATTACAATAGAGTGAAGAGGGGGGAAATTAAATATATATAAAATGAATATATATAAAACAAATATACAGAAGCATGTAACATATATACATATATATCATCACAAGTATTTTTAATAGGTATATAAACTGTGGCAAGTTGAAAAAAATTTTGTATGTGACACAAAAAGTTCTAGAGCAGGAAATTCAGAGTGCTGAGCTTAATCTTGAGAATTGAAGAGATGGACATAAAAAATATAAATTACCAGTTTCCTCCTCAGTGAGGGTGGCCTGCTGCCAATACTCCTGAGCACTGACTGTGTACACCAGGTCTGAGGCTTCCAGAATCTTGGAGTCAGCCGGAAGTTTTCTCTGAAGTGAAAGAGACACACCAGGAACAGAATGACTCAGACATGCCAAGGAAACAACACGCAGGCTTCACGAGAGCCTTCAGCAAATGTCAGCTCACTCATTTTCAGTTCCACCAGGGTCCCGTGAGGGACAGACACCATTCTAAATGTCAGGTGTCACCATCTCTCCTAACAGTCAGAAGTTGTAAGTAAATTGCTGAATAGAAACTATTCTCTCGGGCCAACAGGTGGCCTGGTGGTTAAGGCACTGAATCTTACATGGCTGACTCCAAGGTTCAAGTCCTGGAATTGGTGGCTTGAAAAACAGGCCTACAGGGTGTGTACATGCCCAAAAATCTCAAGAAGAGAACGGAGGAGAAGGGATTGCAATATGGCCCTCTCCCCACCACACCTGGGGGGGAGGGTGAGTTTTCACTTTTTCTCTCTCTGTCTTTCCCTGTCTCTCTCCAGCAAGCAGACACATCCTATGGCAAAACTGAAAACAGTGTGGAAGGAGGGTGGAAGAGGAGAAGAATGTAAGGAAGGAAATTAGAGAGAAAAAATAGAGAGGTAAGACATTTGTGGGACACAGAAATGGTACCTGTTGATGATGACATATATAGTATTCTTTTTTTTTTTTTTTTGGGGGGTTTTTAACTATAGGGGGGGGTGGTTCATCAGCTATAGGGCTCAGGTCCTCACCAGAAAGACCATCAGACAGAGAGAGACAGAAAGCGAGAAAGCATCCCCCAGAGGGGATGGCCACGCCGCAATCCCTTCTCCTCCATTCTCCTCTCGGGATCTTGGGCACGCACACACACACGACCGGCGTGAGTTTTAAGCCACTGGGTCTGGAATGCGAACCGCGGTCGACTACGTGGGAGTCCAGCAACATAGCCATTATGCTAACTGCTGGTCCCAACATATATAGTATTCTTAACTGGACTGGTCTGAGGTATATTTCATGTTGAGTAAATTCTCTATACAAGCTAAACGATGTACAGCAATCAAATGTATAAAAATAATAATAATAATAAAAAGCAATGTTATGTGCATACTAGAAAACTTTTTGAAAAGTTTTTCATAATACTCCACCCATAGACAACCATCACGAATATTTTTATATATTTCATTTCAGTATTGTTTCTACAAACATTTTTTTAACATCATTAAGATCGTTGTATGAGGAGTCTTCAAAAAGTTCATGAAAATGCATATTATGAAAAAAATGCATGAATTTCAAAATGATTTGGACCGAAATAAACCCAGATCTTAATTTCTTTATTTCATCAACTTTGAAGTACCACCATATATAGATTGTGTATATAAATTTTGGTACCTTAATACTACAATGTTTCACATCACTGTTATTTAAAATCTTCATGAATGTCATTTTTAATAAAAATCATTTCGTTTTTAAAAAAATCTAAATTAAAAAAAAAAGAAAAGAAAGAAATGGTTCATATGGCTGGGCTAGCCCATAGCACAGTGATTAAACTCTGTGCATATGGAGACAGGTCTCACGTGGCCATCTTGAAAAACACACTGGGTATGTGTGCATGCACACCCAAAATCCTAATGGGATAAAGAAATGGAGGAAGGATTGTGGTGTGACCACACTCCATTGGAGGGTACTCTTTCTTTCTTTCTCTAGGGATTATGTATGCCTTCTGGCAATAATTTTTTTTAAAAAAAGAAATTCTTCTCTTGGGGGTTAAAAGTGTCAGTTTTAGAAGGAAATATATAGAGAAAATAGTTTAAAAGTTTATTTCAATATTCAGAGAGGGGAAGTACCAGGATCATTTAAAAATAAATAAATAAAAAGGGACATTTCAAAGACAACGGTGTGTTGGAGCCAGCTTGTACCAGCTCCTGATGGCCAGTTTTGAGCATCACTTCAGTGGTATCCTGAAATTGGCAATGATGAAAGTATTTACACCATAGGAATTAGGAAATAATATAAACTGGGTTTTTTTGTTTGTTTGTTTGTTTTAACAAAGAGCCGGTCATTAAACATTTACCAGCACGACACTTGTTAAAGGTCCTATAAGCCTGAAAGTTTCTTAGCCAAGTGGTCAGTGATTAATCATACACATTTTAAGGCAGAATAAAATGGAAGGAAATAATGGATTTTAAAGTCAGAAGATTAAGAATTATTTGTGAAAACTTTTTATGATTACAAAAACATCATAACTACCCACTTAATATATACCGAGTGTTCACACTCTATGACTGAAATTGACGAGCTAAAGGATGTACAAACACAAGACATGGGTGTGAATGCCAGATGTGGTGTGTGTGGAGTGGGGCCTGGGGAAGGACATTTGGAGGAGGGATACGGAGACAGAGCATTGTCGGGACGGGGAGGTAGTGTTGTTATATTTTGATCAACTGGTCTGGGAGAAATGTTCACATATTGAAAAGTTCACTTTGTAAGCTAAATAATGCGATTGAATGTATAAAAAAAAGTAAATAAATAGATAAAATTAAATTAAAAAAAGAAAAACATCATAACTGAGAAGTCATACTACGATTAAACATAAATATTGTTCTATAATTTTTCATTCTTCTTGATTAGGAGTAAAGTCACAGAGAGTGTACATATGTGTATGTGAGTACTTGGGGAATATAAAACAGTAAAGTTGCTAATCTCTTTCTGATGCAAAGATATAAAAGAGCTGAGTGAGAGGAGGCCCTATAATCCTTTGGGATTGGTGAAAATCATATTTGGCAAATTGTAAGCGCTTGTCGTTAAGGCTGTACTTAAGCACAGACTGTTGACTGCCTGAGACCCTATGCGCTGTATTGAGTTAGGGCTAAGCTCTCCCTCATGGCACTTGGAGACATTCCCTCTTTATTTTATGGTGCTGAGGATGGAATTCTGACTACTTTTTCCTATTCCAAAGTCCTTTCCAGGAGGCTTGAGAGAAACACTCTACAAACATTAACAGACCATTGATAGCTGGATGCTACATCCTGACCCAGGTATAGTGTCTTATGAAGTATTGTAAGCCTTCTTATCTCTCAGAGTAAAACATAGACATTTTTTTGCTGATTTCTCAGAAACAAAAACTTATGCTTTTCTTTCGCCAATCACTAACATGAGAATTTCAAATTCACCTATAACCTATAACCTACAAGACCTCCCCTCCATCCCTGCTTCCAGATATCCCACCTTTTGAGGTGAGGCCAATGTAAAGGACTCCAACATGAGAATTTCAAATTCACCTATAACCTACAAGACCTCCCCTCTATCCCTGCTTCCAGATATCCCACCTTTTGAGGTGAGGCCAATGTAAAGGACTCCTTAGGCTAATTGACAACTCTCCTGCTCTCAGAACTAAATAAAAGGAACTACTGTAGCTCAGCACTCTGAGAAACATTCTTGTCTTTCTCCAGGTCAGTCTCTCAATTTCATGCTTAGTAATAAAGCACATTAATTATTATTTCTACAAAATTGGTTATTTCTACTGACAGCATCTAGCTCAGGCTCTCATCACTTCCCACCCAGATGACAGGAGGTCTCCTAACTCTTTAGAAGAGTAAAGCCATAGAGAGTGTACACATGTATGTATGAGAACTTGGGGAGGTGACGGGAGTATAAAACAGTAGAGTTGTTCATCTCTTTCTGATGCAAAGATTTAAAAGAGCTGAGTGAGTGGTGGTGGGCAGGTGGCATGGTGGTTAAAGGCACTGAACTCCCACATGGCCTACTGTGGTTCAAGTCCTGAACCTGACCACTTGGCTTCTCACTTTCTCTCTCTCTCTCCCTCTCTCTCTCTCTCTCTCTCTCTCTCTCTCTCTCTCCCTCTCTCTGTCCTCTCT